TTTTTTTAACTGCGAGAACATTGTTGGCTCTGTTTTAAGTCTCAGGAACTTGCGCAGCGAACCCACAGAACGTATGAAAGCACCGGTCAGGTAGCCATGTACTCTTGGTACGGAGTCTAATCTCTCTAGGAGCAGGTCGCGACGTGGCAACGCAGGCTTGGGCCTTCGACATTCAAGCGGCGGCAATACATCGTGAAAGGCCGAAGGAGGAGTTTTTCGTCTACGTTAGGAATAAGGTATCTTGACGCTGAAAGAAACGCTGTACTTATGCGAGATTTAGGCCAGGACACAACTGTGTTGCCATAACCCTATTTCGTGCGAGAAGCAGATGCCTGGTAATTTATGCTAGTCGTCACTGGGGTGACCCCTAGAACGTTCTCAAATGCACACGCGACACGTTTTCTGCTACCAACCGAATAAGGCTTACCGACTTATCGCCTGATGTCTTTAACAGCCTCGCGGCAACATGCAGCTACTGTGGCTTGTGCTATTTGTGAGCGGCGATTCAACCAAAAGGGGACACAAGACGAAACCCCCGCCCCCCCCATCGGGGTCATGGCAGGATAGAAATCATAGACAACTACTAATATAGACTGGTAAATCTTAGACATAAAAAAAACTTTAACAGTCTATATCCTATATGTCTATCGATTCTATCCGTCCCGCCCATGAACCGACAAGTTCGATGCTTGTGTCCACCTTTTTGTTTGAATCGACCGCACGCCAGAGGCGGCCCAATCCCCATCAACCCCATCACAAGCCGAATCTACTAGCATGTTGCCCCGGAGCTGTTCCAACCAGCGATCCGGCATAGTCGGTAAGCCCCCCCCGCCCCCCCCCCCCCCCCCCCCATTGTTGCGTAGCACAAAGTCCCCCCGTCGCCTTCTGAGAAGTTGTTCAGGGGGTCGACCCCAAGTGACGGGACCTACATAAATTACAGCGCATCTTGTTATTTGCACTAAAATGGAGAATTTAAACGACAGTTGGTGTCTGGAATAAAGTCGAATAAAAAGGTTTTGGGATACGACTTTATTACGTAAACGAGAAGAACTCTTCTTGGCCTCTCACACTTTTCGATTGCGATGTGAGGCTCAAAATGTTGCGCAGTGACGCGCCCTAAGAGATAATGATAAGAAATAAATGTAATCGACCGTTAGTAACAGGCAGTGTG